AAGAGTCTGGCCCCGTCCTCCTGACCCCCACCCTGCAGATATTTAGAGGCATTTCTAAGGTCCCCTCTCAGCCTTCTCTTCTCCAGGCTGAACAAGCCCAGCTCCCTCAGCCTCTCCTCACAGGAGAGATGCTCCAGTCCCCTCCTCATCCTCTTAGCCCTCTGCTGGCCTTTCTCCAGTAGCTCCTCATCTTTCTGGAACTGGGGAACCCAGAACTGGACACAGCACTCCAGATGGGGCCTCACCAGGGCAGAGTACAGGAGAAGGAGAACCTCCCTCGACCTGCTGGCCACACTCCTCCTAATGCACCCCAGGATCCCATCGGCCTCCTGGGCACCCAGGGCGCGCTGCTGGCTCATGGTCACCTTGTCATCCCCCAACACTCCCAGTCCCTCTCTGCAGAGCTGCTCCCCAGCAGGTCCGCCCCAGCCTGTACTGGTGCCTGGGGTTGTTCCTCCCCAGGTGGGAGCTCTGGGCAGCTCTGGGGGAAGAGTTGTATCTTAAACCAGCGAAGCACGCATCATGCTGTAAATCACCAGCGTAATTCCAGCCCTGCGGGTGGCTTTCAGCCTGTCATACGTTTGGGTGGTAGGTCAAAACAAAGTCCTTTTTCCCCCTGTGTCTCTCTCCTTCCAAAGTGGAGGTTGAACCTCAGAGAGCAGAGGCTTTCCTCCCCGGCTGCTCTGGAGCAGTTCGAGGTTAGCTAGGTGGGACCTTGGCAAACCTGAGCTTGCAAAATCGGGCCAGAAAAAGCCAGGGTGATGGGTGTTGTGGCAGCCGGGCACGGGGAGCTGGCGTCCCTGAGAGGGGAAACTCGTCCGAGTGAACGTCAGCGGGACAGTACCCTGAATTAGCGATCAGTTGTCTGGAAGGACCAAAAGGGCGTACAAATGAACACAGAATTTCTTCCATGTAGAGCTGGGAGGCCGCAAGGGTGAGTTCTGCAGTCCCGAGGAGAGGGGTGCAGAAGGGAGGAGCTGCAGGATGGCTCCTGGCAGTCTGCCTTATTTTGGTCAAGCCCTTAGTCCAGCATTTGAAGAATTTGATGCTTAATTTTTTTTGGATGATGGCTTTTCCATGCAATGTTGAGACTTCAAACAACCCCTCGTGTGAACCCAGTGAAGTATGACAGCGATCTAGTTGGATCTGTTGTTTTCTTATAAATATGATTTGCTAGAGCTGTGTGTGTGCTTTGGCGTGCGCGTGATGCCAGTGTTTCTGCCCAAGTCTCGTCTCCTGAGCAATGAATGGAGGAGTAGGTACCTTGGAACTGAAATAGGAACTTTTTTTGCAGTGGAAACCAG